GAACTCGTTTAGTTCAAAATATGCCGTGAAATAAATCAAATGGCGGAAAAAAAAAAAACCCAAAGTTCTTACCTGTTTTTGTGAACCGAAGCCTTCAATCTCCAAAAAACTCTGTTTTTCTCAACGATTATCACAAATTAGTAACAAAAGCTTTTGATTCACAGCTTTAAGATCAATATGCCTACAAATTTTGAAAGATTCATGCCCTATTTGGCATGAAAGTTCAGAAATGGCGGAAACCCTAAACCCCGAATTTTTCTTGATCCAAAAACAACCAATTTTTTCACCATTTAATCCTTGAAAAAACTGAATAAAGCTGTTTACAGCCTGCAAAACAGATCACATGCCGAAAAAAACAAAAAAAATAATAAAAAAATGACAAATTTGAAAAAATCCGTGAAGAACACTGTGCAACCCGTGTTCTTCACGGACTCGCCGATTCCGCACAGTGAATCGGCGAGTCACTGTACGGAATCGTCCGGTTCTCTCTAGATCCGGACGATTTCCGGTTTTTGAACCGATCCGGTACCATTTTCGTGAATTCCGAGTCGAACCGGGCGAGTCCGGTTCGACGCGGCGATTTTTAAACGCTGCTCCCACCACAACCTCAAATCCAAAATATGCACAATCTCTCCGAAATCTTGGGGGCCAAAATTTCGCGAAATGAGAAACCGGCTGAAGAAATTTGGCGAAGTTGCGTAATTTCGCGAAACTTTGAAACGATGTGAGGAACGCGTACGTTACGGTGAATTTTGAGCACCCAAGTCGCTTGTTACCTCCCCGAGAAAGACCTTTTCGAACTACTTTTAATATCAAAAATAAAAACCCATGAAAAAAATGAAATAAATCAACAAAAAAATATATTAATAAAAGTAAAAAAGCCCACAGAAAAATCTTAATTGGCAATTAATTATAAGTAGTAGATTGAATCCTCAAATCAATCAATAGCAAGAAGCTTTTCCATTTGATTCTTTCTCTGCAATTTTATTTCTCTTTCGGCTTCCTATAGAATTCTCAATGGCCCCATCAAATTCTCTGCTCAGTTAGGGTTTTAGCTTCTTCAGTCAAGAGGCAGGTATCGTGCTTTATATCACTTAGTTTTACTCTTCTTTAACGGCTTTCTAAGTCCAAATCCCAATTCCTTTTAGCTTGTTTCATAGAGGAATGTGATGACCCAAATGTGGATTTTACAGTGACTAAGACCCAGAGAGAGAATTGCATTGAAAAGTTTTAGCTGGTTTTTCTGTTTTTTTTCTTTTTCTGGGGAGAAAAGAGTGGACCCAAGTGTTTAGAAAGATGGGTTCAGTAAGAAAGTTTATGGGTTATTAGATATCCATCTAAAACATTGTTTTTTTCTTTGTAACGAACTGGGGTTTTGGAATTATAGCTCTGGTTTTTGTTATGAGTAAGGAATAGCCTTTAGTGACCTTTTTGTTTTTTGTAGGAGGATTAACAAAGTGTTTGTTATACTGAAAGCAAAGGCGGATTTGAGGGGGGAAATTTTGGCTCTGTATTTTCGTATTTTTAGCTGTTAAATGGCTGGTTCTCCAGATGGATAGAGCTTTAAGTTGCAAACTTTGGAGCATTTGATGAGAAAGAATCTTAAATCTGCAAAACCCCATTTAAAAGGATCATTAATAAATTATGTTGAATGAGCAAACCCCAAGTTTTTTATCCTAGGGAGGGTGAGAGAGATTAAGAGAGAGTGATGAAATGCAACAGACTTTGTGACTTTCATAACTCTAGCCTATGATCTTAGAGACTTGAGAGAGAGAGAGTAAATGGGAAGTGAAGAATATTCAAAATTCGATCTTCCTTCCTTTGTTTTATTAGTTTTCCGTTATGTGACCAAGATTTATAGTCGTATCCTCTAGCAGTTTCCATGGCAGAAAGAACCACACTGTCGTCAAGCTCTGAGACTAGAAAGTCCCTTTTTGGCGTTATTTGTGTCTCTTTTATACTCTTGATCATCTCCTCTTCTTTTCTTTTGAGGTCCAATAATTCTCTTCTATCCGAATCAGTTCTCATGTTGATGGCCATTAATAGCACTCTAGAATCAACAACCAAAACCAAACTCCTTGAACCCGCTGATTCTTCCACTCTGGGCCTTCAAATCACAAATCCAAAGTCTAACATTGGAATTGAATTCCGAGATATAAGCAGGTCATCTGATACAGGAAAGAAAAGCAAGTGTGATCCAAATCAAGCATTTCTTAAGGTCTATATGTATGATTTGCCACCTGATTTCCATTTTGGGCTATTGGGTTGGAAGCCAAATGGCAAAAAAATATGGCCAGATATTGGCACAGCAATACCTGAGTACCCTGGTGGCTTGAATTGGCAACATAGTATGGAGTATTGGCTTGCATTGGATTTACTAGCTTCAAACACAAATGGGGGACTTAGTCCATGCACAGCTGTGAGAGTCAATAATTCAAGCTTTGCCGATGTGTTTTTCGTGCCATTTTTCTCTTCGATTAGCTATAACCGACATTCCAAGCTACATGGAAACAAAAAGATCAGTAAAAATAGTCTGTTGCAGGATAAACTAGTGAAGTTTTTGATGGGTAGAGAAGAATGGAATAAATGGGGGGGAAAGGATCACTTGATTGTGGCTCACCACCCAAATAGCATGTTGATGGCTAGAGATAAACTTGGTTCAGCTATGTTCGTGCTTGCTGACTTCGGGAGATATTCAAATGATACAGCTAACCTGCAAAAGGATATAATTGCTCCTTATATGCATGTTGTGAGGAGTATTAAGGATGATACTCTTTCTTTCAAAAGCCGAAGGACCTTGGCATATTTCCAAGGGGCAGTATACAGGAAAGATGTGAGTTTTTTCAAATCGAGTTGCTTTTAATTGAACTTGTTTTTATTGGTGTTTATTTCCTGAGCTTCATTGCAGTAATTTCTTTTCACTTTATTGTCATCTCCAATTTTGTAAGCTGTTTTAACTGTAATTTGTTTTAGTTAAATTTGCCTGAAGGAAGATGACAAGTTTCCTCATCGATCATTTTTTAATGTTTTGATTCTTATGGCTCTGTTTAACTAGTGTAAGGGGATCTCATGTTATGGTAGATGCGACTCTCTCAATCACCATCCATCATTTCGCTGGATGGTGATAACCCTATGAGATATGGTTTTCCCATAGTTTGTTTTATTATTGTATACTTTCTCAGAGTATAAGCATGTTTACATCATGTAATCTCGGAAAGTACTTCAAGATATAAGCATTGTCTAGACAATAGAATGTTACTTGATCCTTCAAAAGCAGTGAATTCCATTTATAGTGAATCACCATAATTGTGTTGACACAAAAGGTATATAACAGAGAAAATGTATCTTCTTTGGTGGCTAGGTAAATCAATTAAGTGGCATGGCTTTGAACTGTGGAATATCTCTTAATTAAACCAACAGTCTACTAGTTAGGCTAAAATTGAAGACAGTTTTTTCTTTTTTCCAATTCATTTTGTGTAGTGATTGATGATTCCATACTAGGCGAACCAAGGGGCAACATATCGGTCGTTTGCAGATTTGTTGGATAGGAAGATCTGCTGAGAGCTAAGACTGGCCTTTTGACCTAACTGATATAAAATTGTTACCTTTGGTAGAATAAAATTGGTCCTATAAATCTTCAAAAATAAAAAATGTGCATTCCTAGGTGTTGCCTCTTCGCCTTTAATTGGATGTGAATGCTATTACTACGTAACCAAGATACTAGTAGAGAGATTACATGGTAGAAATGCTTTAAAGTAGTGACATCTGATAGTATTACATAATTTGCTTTATATATGATACACTGTAGCATAATTATAACCTTAGCCAATTACAACTTCTTTCTCCTTATGGTATTGGTACCTGCTGTCATCTCAACAGAAGATTTAGACCTTGGGGAGTCCATCATCTTTTCAAACTACTATTAGCATCTTCCTGGTTTACAAGTACCAATTATTGATTCATGAGCCATCAATCATTATGATTAAGACTTCTTATCAAAAAGGATAGTTACTTATCACTGGTCGGAAACCTTTCCAGGGTGGAATTATTCGACAAGATCTTTACTATCTTCTCAAGGATGAAAAAGACGTTCACTTTGCTTTTGGCAGTGCTAAAGAGAATGGGATAACTAAGGCAGGCCAAGGTATGGCTTCGTCAAAATTCTGCCTAAATATAGCAGGCGACACCCCCTCCTCGAATCGTCTTTTCGATGCTATAGCGAGTCATTGCGTACCCGTTATTATCAGTGATGACATTGAGCTCCCTTATGAGGATGTACTTGATTATTCTAAATTTTGCATCTTTATAAAAGCACCAGATGCTATAAAGCCGGGTTTCATACTGAATCTTCTTAGAGGGATTGGGCCTCAAGAATGGACCCAAATGGCCCAAAGGGTAAAGGAAGTCGCCCATCACTTTGAGTATCAATTCCCTTCTCAACCTGGCGATGCTGTTCAAATGATATGGGGAGCTGTTGGGCGTAAATTATCATCTCGTCGGTTGAAACTACACAGGGAGAATCGATACAAACGGTCACAGCTCAAACAACAGAGATTTTAAGAAGAGGATTTGAGAATCTGAAGATGCATTTTCTAACCATGTAACTGAAATGCACCTTGATTGTAACTTGAGGCCATTCTTGGTCCCTTTGTAATTTAATGGTCCTCTGCTTATTGATTACATTGTGGTTTATCATTGATTAAAGTGTAAGTAGTCCTTACAAAAATTATGACTGATTTGATAGCCTTTGTGTGTGTCTTCTTGTTTCATTAGATTCTTGAACGGAATGTAGAACTTTTGTTTCACTGAAACCATTCACTGAAACCATTCTTTTGTTTCACTGAAACCATTCTTGAACGGAACGTAGAACTTTTGTTTCACTTTATCCTTGTATTGAAGACAATAAATACAAGGATAAAGTGAAATCAAATGCAGGAAACATATTATTACTGCATTTTGGTTAATCCCATAAGTAGCTTTGACAAACTCCCCAAACCCAAAATCCTTAGCTGGGTTTCTTAGACTGTCAAATTTGGTGCTACTCAGGACAATGTCAAAAATGTTTGTTCTCTCCTTTTTTCTCTTTCCTTCTTTTAAATCTTTCCCTAATTTAATGTCATTCCTATCAACTTCAGCAAATCCATACCCCATTCAGAGTGGTTACCAAAAGAATAATACATTCTTACATAAAAGATATAAATAAATCAGAAATTTTTTTGAACTGCCCCCCTGTGTATCCAAGATTTCAATTGCGCTCTAGAAAATTATGAGAAAGGATGAAAGGATTTCAAGGGTGGAAGGCCACAAAAATTAAGTCACCTCTTCTACCAGGTAATGGCAAGCATGATACCAGGGTGTCTGCATCCCAAAGATTGGGATATTTTGAGAAATAGTCAGCGGCTGATTGCAGGAACATTTGATAGAGAAGAATTGAACATGTCTGGTTATTATATTTGGCAAAATTATGTTTTGTCTTAGGAAAACACGTGGACTCGGAAATTACAAAAACATAGTTAGCAAAATAACTATCCGATACCTTATAAAATCTAAAAACTAAGTTCATCTTGATATGCAAACTAAATCTTTGGGGCAAGGATGTCTTAGAAACCATTAAAGGTGGATCCAAATTCTCTTTAAAAATATCGACCAAGAATTATTAGAGGACAGTATCGCTTAACCAGAGTATCAAAACATTCACAAGATGAAAAATAGAAATGGATCAATCCTTTTACTGTGATAATGGGAAATAAAAATAATGCTACCATGCAATTACCAAGCTTGCTAATGCAGACAAGATGTAATCTTTTTCTTCTCTTAATTGTGAAAAAAACAACCCACAAACTGTAATTCTATACCCCTTAGCCATACACCACCGTTTCCCTTTGTATCAATGGTGGCTTGCCAGCTCTGTACAATCTCTCTTTCACATAAAATCCTCGATCCATTAATCAGATAGACAAAACCAACCCATCTAAGATAAGAAAATAAAAAAAGAAAAAGTAAGAGGAAAAAAAAATCAAATTCATTAGAACAGCTGACTTTTGGTTTGAGTCCGAACTCTTCTTCTGCACCAGAAATAACAAGTCGGCTGATCCATCTTCTATCAGCCATGACTATGCATTCTTTCTTCGAGAGAATCCAAGTATTCTCAGCATCGGTTATGTATGGGATCAGACCCTCCTCGAACCCTTCTCTTGCTCGACTGGTTTGGATCAAAAGCTGAGGGTCCATGAGCTTGTCTTTGCTTGCTATTGAAATTTTCAACAGAGGCCTCCTCAACAAGTAGTCTCCTTGATGAAGCAAATCCATCTTCTTGGGTCCATCTTAAAACCAGGTCTGAGCTTCTCAGGCCATAAGCCATTTCTAGTTGGAGAGAAAAAAACCCGATAAAAATGAGAAGTAGAACCAACCTTCGAGCACAGAAAACCATGGTTTCTAGAGGCACCCAAATGGATAAGAACCTCAGAAACCTCTGTTTTAGAGTAATTGAATTATAACAAGCTCTGCAACTGTTAATGTCCGACTGATATATGGGCCATCCCTGTAGATATAAGCTTCTTATATGTTGGGTCCTGGGGGTTAAAAACACTTAGGAGGGAATAAAGTCCAAAAAGGTTTAAGAACACCTTGAGGGAGCCTAGATTCACCAAAATCATCCTTCTGCAAAATCTAAGCAAATTAAGGCTGTTTTTGAATTTGCTCTTTTTTGTTCTTTTGAATGGAAGGCTCTGACACACTTGAATAAAGAGATTGGAACACCATCCTTGAGAAGCTAAGCATCTTTTCACTGATTCTCTCCTATCATTTGCATATGTTGCTTTATCTACTCATCATAGACCAGACCAGACCGATCCTTTGTCTGGTTTGCCATTGTCTTGAAACTGCCATGTCACTCTTGACGGGGCCCACATGTCACTGTTCCACGTGTCTATTCACCATTTGCTCTCTCTCTCTCTCTTATGTATACACACATCTCACATATGAGCACACACACCTCTTTCTCACATATGAGCACACACACCTCTCTCTCACATATGAGCACACACACTTTTCTCTCACCTCTCTCTCTCTCTCATATGATCACATATACCAACACACACATCCCTCTCTGTCTTTTTCATATGAACACACGTGCACCATTAATTGCTCAACTTGGGACTCATGCTAGTTAAAAATTCCTCTCATTATATGAACGCACATACAATTGCACCTTTAGTGCTAAACTTGGGACTCATGTTGCTTCTCTCTCTCTCTCTCTCTCTCTCTCTCTTTGGAACTCACATGCGTTGCCTCTGGCCACGTGTGACACTCTTTCTCAAGCCTTAATCATGCGAGGTGGTTGCTTGGCACTGTTGCTAAGGAACCCAAAAGTAGGCGTATGGAAGATGGCGGTAGGGAACCAATTCTTGCTTTATCCCATTCCACATCTGCTTTTAGAATTTAGCTCTCT